CTACAATAAAATCATGAAAAAAAAAAAAATCATTACACAGTACTCAAACCATAAATAAGAAATCTTTAAGAACCCTAACATGATGGGATTTTAGAGAGAGAGGAAATTGTGGTCTTCTGTTCGTGTTCAGCAAGAGAGAGAACCCTAATATGATGAGATTTTATGTTAACTCTTACTTTTAGGGTTAATTGTCAAAAAAATCTGGTTGAATTTCAAATTAATCTCAACTTTTTCAATTTTACAAATAAATCTCAATCTTTATTAATTATTGTAATTTTGTCTCAAAATTGAATTCCGGCCATCTGCCGCCACCGGCCGCCGCCTGTCTCCGGCCAACCTCGCCGGAATTGAAATTTTTTTACGGTCATCATGTAGCTCTCCTTCCGGGCAACAACATATTCGAAGTTCGTGTATAAATTACGACAATAATGGGTCCAATTTTATAGGTTATCGAATTGATATCCTCATATTTGTTTTACATTATAGCGAATTTACTAAATTATATTATAAATATATCTCAAAGTTATTAAAATTTTTATTTATTAACAATTTTATACATAAAATATCCAAATTAATCATGTATTTATGAGCTTAGATTTGACATCTATGTTATACATAAAAAAAACAATTATTTATATTTATAATTAAAATTAAATGAAAAAATAAAATCATTTAGACTAACTTAACTACAAAGTAGTTATCTCATATAAAGTAAAAAATTAAATATCATATAAATTAAAAAAATTATAATACAAGAGGTAAGTTGTGTAAATGACGGTGCATTTTAAATATAAATAATAATATATTTTTTTAAAAAAATATATATATTTAAAAATTAAAACGATTTACGTTATTATTATTATTATTATTTAATTTTAAATAGGTTTCTTGACAAGTACCAGTATAGTACACGTGTATTGTAGTAGTAAACTTATTATTTATTTAAAAATGAGTTACGAGATAATTTCTGATGCTTACCAAACACATTTTTAAAAATTTGGAGGAATCTATATATGTATAAAAAGATTTACTATTTTTAAAAATAGCAGGTTAAATTTTGGTCAAAATCATTTTGCATTAATTACATTCTATTTTTAGTAACTTTTTTTTAATAAAAAAGGCAGCAATAAATGCTACCCATTAATTAAGGATTTTGTTATTTTGGTTTTCAACAAAACCATGAATGTTGCCTATTATTTGGGGCTGATGTTGTTTTATTTTTAAAAATCATGTTTAATAAAGGAAATAACTATATATTACCCTAAATTGTTGGATAATTAAATTGTCTTGCTTTGCGTCTTTACTTGCTTAATAAATTAATTAGTGCTGATTTAATACTCAACTGGTCAAACTTTATTTTATTTCAAATTAAGAAATAAATATGTATAACCGATAAAAAAAGAATTAAATATGTATAGATAATATATTAATTATTTTACAAGCTAGCCCTAATATACAAGTGAAAAATATATGATAACCCTATTGATTTTTAGACTTAAACGAACAGAATCGTCTGAAAATAATTCATTTAATATTTATGTCTCGTGCATTGCACGGGGTACGTACTAGTCAATATTTAACTGAAATACATAAAACTATTTCAAAACATGGAATAAATACAGTAATACACCTCTTATATAAGTCTAATATGATCCGGACTAGAATTCCATTTGATCTCAAAATTAAATATAAATAACAATTTCCTAGTCCAAAAGAAGTCTAAGTATGGACAAATTTGAGTTTGTCTAATCCTAGTGGGAAAAAAAATATTCTATAACTGAAAATCTTATTAAATATTTTTTGCTGATTTCATTTAACTTTACTCGTAAAAACAATTTGATTTAATTTAATTAATTAGTCCTAACTCTTATTTGTTGAGACTCAATAGTCAAAGGTCAGATATAGGGTCAAAGTCGTCTTTTCACCAAGTGAAAGCGTGCCCAATTGT